GATTGTGCCACTGCACTCCAGCCTGGGCAATGAGAGCGAAACTCCGTCTCAAAAAAAAAAAAAAAAAAATTAAATGATGTAAATTTGCAATGAATAAATTATATTCAGAATAAAAGCAATAAATACTCAAAATTAATCACTTCCTAATTACATTTCTACACGTCCATGTTCAGTGCTACTGGGGTTATTTTTGCTGTTGTATCTGCATGAGGAGAAACATGTCTAACGCTGCGCTACTGTGCATACTCTGTGGTCACACTGGTAGCTTGAAATTGACCATGGGGGGGTCATTAATGCCACCGAAATTGGAAGGTGTTAACAAATCATAGCCTTTCTTTCTTCAGGGGTGGAAGCAGGGAGCCTGTTGCTAACATTTACTAACACACCTGCACCACTGGTATTGATAATCAGAACAAATCAATCTTGGTCTATAGGCAACCATGTCTCCTGAGATGGAAACCCCTCCTTTCTTGGGCCAGGTTGTCTCCTTAGCATGAAAGTTTTTGTTTTGTGTCTCAATCTTGGCAAGGTTTGGTCACACCACTATATTTGTGAATGTTTTGTGTTAAATTCATGTATAGTTTTTTCTTATTTTTCCTCAATATTTATTATGAAAATTTTAAACATATACCAAAGTTAAAGAAACTTCATGAAGAACATCTGTATATCCACCAGTTAGATTCTAACATTAAACTATTTGTTTGTTTGTTTTTTGAGACAGTCTCGCTCTGTCACCCAGGCTGGAGTGCAGTGGCACAATCATGGCTCCTTACAGTCTCAACCTCCTGGGGTTTAAGTGATCCTCCCACCTCAGCCTCCCAAGTAGCTGGGACTACAGCTGCACACAACCATACCCAGCTCATTTTTTTTTTTTTTTTTTTAAGAGAGAGGGATTTTGCCATGTTGCCCAGGCTGGTCTCAAACTCCTGGGCTCCAGCAATCCTCCCACCTCGGCTTCCCAAAGTGCTGGGATTACAGGCCTGAGCCACTGCACCCAGCCTCTAACAAACATTAAACTTTATGTGGTATCGTCACGTATCTGCCCCTCGGTCTATCCCTCATAGAGCGGTTTTTTAAATTACTTGCACAATCTATATGTAATTGGTATTATTTAGAAAATACGACATATTAGAGGATCTAATAGGTTAGTATTAAGATTCCAATATGAAATACATCGAAGAGTACCTGATTTTCAACTTTAAGTTGAAACTGTGATGAAAAGAGTATTGACATATTTAGGAAAATGTAAGACTCATCATATAAATTTGATGTATTCGGTGAACCGGAATTATTTAAAAACAAGAAAGATTTTCTTGTTATAACAATTATTTAACATAGTTTAAACGTCTAAAGCATATCAAATGTAATAACACAGCTTAAAATGTAAAAGGATATGTAAATAACTAGTTTGTGTCAACAACAATTAATCGGGGACCTCTACGAAAGTAGCTTTACTTACTAGATGTATAAATAGAATAATAAACTATATAAAATAGAGTTGACCTTAATAACTTAACAAAAAGTTAGGTTTTTGGGTTTTGAAAGTCAAATGAAATATTACACACACACACACACACACACACACACACACACACACACACATCAATCCAACCAAGTAGCCAATGCAGAAAAGCTACCATCACAGACACCAAAAAAACAATGTCAAGCAAACTATGATCACAGCCTTAGGACTGAACCAGAAAGGCTAGAAAGGGAGAGAAGTGTTTGTAGGGTCCAGGGAAGATACTCCGAAAAGAAAAGAAATGCAATAATCACAATTATCAAAGGCTTACTGTGTGCCAGGAGGTGGATGAATCACTCGACATTCATTACCCTCTGAAACGTCACAATTAGGCCTGCAAAGCGGGTATTTTCTTTTTTTTTTTTTTTTTTTGAGACGGAGTCTGGCTCTGTCACCCGGCGCGCTGGAGTGCAGTGGCCAGATCTCAGCTCATGCAAGCTCCGCCCCCCGGGTTTACGCCATTCTCTGCCTCAGCCTCCCGAGTAGCTGGGACTACAGGCGCCCGCCGCCTCGCCCGGCTAGTTTTTTGTATTTTTTAGTAGAGGACGGGGTTTCACCGTGTTCGCCAGGATGGTCTCGATCTCCTGACCTCGTGATCCGCCCATCTCGGCCTCCCAAAGTGCTGGGATTACAGGCTTGAGCCACCGCGCCCGGCCAAAGCGGGTTATTTTCAATCCCTTCTTACAGATGCCTGAAGAGAGGCTAGGTGGCACAAGCGACATGGATAGTGTTTCTAAAACTGAACTCCTTGCCTTCCCCGTCCCCAGACCTTAAACTATTACATAAAATATCTTTAACGTTTAATGGGAGAATATTTAAATGACTTTAGAAAGCTAAAGAATTCCAACTAAATCATGAAATAAAGCCACAATTCAGCCTGGGCAATATGGTGAAACCTTGTCTCTACAAAAAAGACCAGATGTGGTGGTGTGCACCTGTAGTCCCAGTTACTCAGGGAGGATCACTTGAGCCTGGAAGGTTGAGGCTGCAGTGGGCCATGATCGTGTCACTGCACTCCATCCCAGAGAACAGAGGCAGATTCTATCTCAGGAAAAAAACCACAATTTGGGGGGTGGCGGACAGTGGGGGTGTTTTACAGGTTCAGATTAGGGCACAGAATTAGGTAGCAAAGAGCAGGTGCGGTGGCTCACGCCTGTAATCCCAACACTTTGGGAGGCCAAGGCAGGTGGAGCACCTGAGGTCGGGAGTCCGAGACCAGCCTGGACAACATGGTGAAATCCCATATCTACTAAAGATACAAAAATTAGCCAGGCGTGGTGGCATGCACCTGTAGTCCCAGCTACTCGGGAGGCTGAGGCAGGAAAATCAGTTGAAACCAGAAGGCGGAGGTTGCAGTGAGCCGAGATTGTGCCACTGCACTCCAGCCTGGGCAATGAGAGCGAAACTCCGTCTCAAAAAAAAAAAAAAAAAAAAATTATGTAGCAAAATATTGAGAACCCAAAGGGCAAGGCCTCTCCCTGTATCCTTCTTCTCAGGGAGGGGCATTTTTAAGTCTCCTCAAGGGTCCAAGCCAGAAGCCTGCGATCTTGTCCTTGACTCTACCCTCTCACAGCCTCCAGCACCAGCCAGGTCCTACTGTTTTGCTCCTTGGCAAACCTGTGAGTTCACCCTCCCACTTCTTCCACCCCGTGGGCGCTCTCTTCCCATCTGGCCTGAGTTGCTGCCATAGTTCCTGCCTATTCTCCCTGCCTTCTGCCTCCAGCATGGCCCCAGTCTCCAATCTCCATAACTAACCCATGTGTTGACAGGCTCACCCCTCTCCAATCTGCCAAAGCAAACCTGTCAACACATGAGTTAGTAATGTCCCTCCCCTACTTCAACACGCAAAGTCCTAAGTCCTTCACTGGGCACAGGAGGCCTTCATCACCTACCTCTCCTGAGGCTTCCACCTTCACCTGTGTCTTCCTCAGGCCCTACCTCACCTGCTCAGCAGCACTCAAAGTGGCCCCAGAGCCCTGCGTGTTCTTTGACCCTAGGTGCATTTCTCCCTCTTGCTCTCTCTCTTCCTATGGCCAGCTCCTCCCCGCCCTGCAGAGCAAGGCTTAAGCACTCTTCCTGGCCCCCCGTCTACATTAGCTTCCCCCTCCTCCCTGACCCTGGGCATCTGGCACTTCCCTCCCAGCAACGATCACACTGTCCCTATACCTTACGAGACTCTGAGCTCCCTGGAGGCAGTATCCGCGTGCTATCCCGTTTATTCCCAGTGCCTGGTGCAAAAACCTAACCCATCATAGATGTTTCATTACTGTGTGTGGCCTGACCATCTGAACGAAAGAAACCGAGGTGTGGCCGTAGATATCCGTCTGATCCCCAAACACCCGTTCCTCTGCTTTGCGCAGCCTGTTGCACTACGCCTTGAAGGAAAGTGAGCAGATGTTGGACAAACAGGAGGTCCTCAGGGAGAAGAGCAAGAGCCCAACGAGAAAGCATGGTGCAGAAGGATCCCGGAAAGAACACGCGTGGACAGAAGTCTGAAGCATGGATTTGTTTGTTCATCCAAAGAACCTTTCCTGGGAAGCCACAGGGACTTGCGGACCAGTTACCGTGGTAGACCCTGGGGATGGGGCAGGAATGCCTGCGTAGACCGTGCTGACCGTGTATTGGGTTTTCTCCTAAGAAACTGATGTCTGATGACTAAATCCTCACAGTGTCACATGCAGAAAATATGACCCCTGTGGCATGAATGAGGAAGCAGAGGCCCAAGTTGATGAGGCAACTTGCACCAGGTTCACAGCCAGGAAGAGCAGAGTCTGGATATGAATACACAGATGGTTCCCCTGAGCATGCCACAGAGCTGTGGAAAATCCCAGGGATAAGCGACGTTTCGTTTCCCCTTTTGGGGGCTCATTAACTTTCTTACTATTTGAAATGCAAATAGGACTGGCTGACCCTGAAGACCCTGTGCCACGCCACTCCCTCGAGGCAGCAAGTCCTCTGTCACCAGTGGATCTACATTGGGGCGAGAGGGCTAGATAACAAATAGGCAACATGTGAGAATTTCAGGGAGGGGCAGGCGCCATAAAGGGGTCGAAGTTGTGGGTGGTGGCTTGGGGGGATGTGGTAGGAAAGCAACCACAGAGGGCACCCTCTGGATCAGGTGATCCTGGAAGATCTCTCTTTGAAGGGGACATTTGGACTGAACCCTGGATGGTGAGAAGGAACCGGCCACAGTGGAGCTCAGACAGGTGCTCCAGGACGGGGAACAGCAAGCGCAAATGCCAGGATCGACCCTGGAAGACTGACTTCTCTTAGGATTTTGCAAGTCAGCCTAGTCGTGGAAGAAATTCCTCGGCCGCCAAGAGAGTTGCTGCTTTGCAGGACCTTCCTTAGCTTCCCCGGGGAGAGGCGCTGGGAGAAGCCTCTTTGTGTGGCCCCTGGAGCCAGCAGGCCACTGGGGTGTCCCGGAGGAGGGTGGTTTGGACCCAGGATGCCTCCTCACTGAGCTGAGCAAACTCACGTTTTGCTTGAAGCTGTGGTTCTCGGAGCATTCGGAGTCATCCTGCCAAATATCCGTGGCGTTCTCTATCGTCTGCCAAGTCCCCTGAGCCAAACAGTGTCTGTAGGCCCTTCCTGAGCTCTCTGAAAGTAAACAAAGCTCCGGAGGAAAGGTCAGAACGCACAGCCCGTTCCCCTGAGCATGCCACAGAGCTGCGGAAAATCCCAGGGACAAGGGATTTTCACTTCCCCTTTTGGGGGCTCATTAACATCCTCACTGTTTATTTGGGATGGAAGGGAAAACATGGAAGCTTCTCAATTTTGTAACACACCATGGTCTGCTAAGGTCTGCTGTGTTTACCCAAAGTCTCTGGAATTCGAACAGCCTCTGGTGACTCAGAGATGTTACAAGCCCTCCAAGGTTCAGCCCAGCTGGGAGACGCCAATCTGGGCTCCCGATGCTTGCTAGGTGGGGCATCTCTTCCTGAGGCTCATGCCATGAAGGAGAAAGTGGTGGGCACGTGGCTGACAGACGGGGACTGACGCCGGATGCACCATCCATGCATGAGTGTGTCCAGGGCCTAGCTCTCCTAAACCTCTAAGCTTTCCTGCGTTTTCTTTTTTTTTTTTTTTTTTTGAGACGGGGTCTCTCTCTGTCGCCCAGGCTGGAGTGCAGGGGCGCAATCTCAGCTCACTGCAAGCTCCGCCTCCCGGGTTCACGCCATTCTCCTGCCTCAGCCTCCCGAGTAGCTGGGACTACAGGCGCCCGTCGCCACGCCCGGTTAATTTTTTGCAATTTTAGTAGAGACGGGTTTTCACCGTGTTAGCCAGGATGGTCTCGATCTCCTGACCTCGTGATCCGCCCACCTCAGCCTCCCAAAGTGCTGGGATTACAGGCATGAGCCACCGCGCCCGGCCACCTTCCTGCGTTTTCATCAGGAACTGGGGATAATAATTACTACCAACTCTCCATGATTTGGGAAGGATTTGGGAAGAAATGAAAGGGTGTGTGAAAACAATGAGAAAAATCCCTGTGCCCAGATAGACTGCCATTGTGACTCAGTCACATCTGTCCCAGAAGGTCCTCCCACCTGGAGGATTAGAGGCTGGGCTTGCAAACGAAAAGTCAAAATCTGTTGGTCCTTCCTAGTCCTGGCCCTGCACATCATGGGCCAACAGTAACCATCTGCTGAATTTAATGAATGGACAACCAAAGGGTACAGCCCCCTGCTCCCCTGACAACTTTGCTAGGTAGGGTGTCTAAGTGACATCTCAAACAACACACTCCAAACCAAACTCTTTTTCTTCTTTTCAAAATCTGTTCCACCCACCTATTTTACCACCTCAGTGGCTGGCAAACCCATCCTTCCAGTCCCCTGGCCCTAAACCTCAGACTCACCCTCCCCTTCTGTCTCTCATAGCCCTCCTCAGGTCCTCTAGCTAATCTGTCATCCCTGCCTTCTTCTGTACATGGAATCTGACTGCCACTTTCACTTCCTGCTTCCATCCCGTGGACCTATCATCTCTCACTGGGAGATGGGGCTCCTCTGACAGTCCTGCCCCTCACATCCATGGGCAACCCAGCAGTCAGAGCAAGCTGAATAAAATACCAGCCACATAGGCTGGGTGCGGTGGCTCACACCTGTAACCCTAGCAATTTGGGAGGCCAAGGCAGGCGGGTGGATCACCTGAGGTCAGGAGTTCGAGACCAGCCTGCCCAGCGCGGTGAAACCCCATCTCTACTAAAAATACAAAAAATAAAAAATAAAAAATTGGCCGGGCGCAGTGGCTCAAGCCTGTAATCCCAGCACTTTGGGAGGCCGAGACGGGCGGATCATGAGGTCAGGAGATCGAGACCATCCTGGCTAACGTGGTGAAACCCCGTCTCTACTTAAAAAATACAAAAAACTAGCTGGGCGAGGTGGCGGGCGCCTGTAGTCCCAGCTACTCAGGAGGCTGAGGCAGGAGAATGGCATGAACCCGGGAGGCGGAGCTTGCAGTGAGCTGAGATCCGGCCACTGCACTCCAGCCTGGGCGACAGAGCAAGACTCTGTCTCAAAAAAATAAATAAATAAATAAATAAAAATTAGCCGGGCATGGTGGCACATGCCTGTAATCCCAGCTACTCGGGAGGCTGAGGCAGGAGAATCACTTGAACCCGGGAGGCAGAGGTTACAGTGAGCTGAGATCACACTGCTGCACTCTAGCCCGGGTGACAGAGAGAGAAAAAAAAAAAAAAAAAAAAATCAGCCACATCACGTCACACTTCTCTCCAGATCTTCCAAGGGCTTTCTGAGAAAAACTCTTCCGGCCTTTCACAAAGTCCCCTAGGACCTGGCCCGTAACTCTCTGCCATAACCTGTTGCTTCTCTCCCCTCTTCAGCACAGCCACGTCTGCCTCCTTCTCTTCATGCAACAGGCCAGCCATGGTCCCCATATAGAGCCATTGACCTGCTGTCTCCTTCCATCCTGAACACTCTTCCTCTAAAACCTTTACCTTCTTTACATCTTCACCAAAACGTCACCTTGCCGTCGAAGACTTCCTTAACTATCCAGTTTACAGCTGCGACCCATCACCCCACTCCAACCTTCCCATCCCTTCCCCATCTTGTTTAACACAGATCCCATTCAAACATCGTCTGCACTTATTTATGATGCTTATTGATAACTCTCTGTCTCTCCTGTGAGAATGTGAGCCCCACGAGGAGATCTTACTTGGTTTTTGTCACTAATATATCCCAAGCACTTAAAAATAATGCATGACATACAACAGGTGCTTAATACGTATTAGTTGAATGAGTGAATGGCAAGAATGTCTCTTGACACTTGCATTGTCTGTGCTAGCCATAATGCTTTGTGCTGGGAACGCAAACATATGAAGAGGGCTCAGCTCTGGCTGGGGGAGTGCAAAGAAAAATCGCCGTAAATGATTATAAATGCTAAGACAGAAGACTGCACAGGTATAGAAAAGGCCTCAGAGGCCGGGCGTGGTGGCTCACGCCTGTATTCCCAGCACTTCGGGAGGCCAAGGCGGGAGGATCACGAGGTCAGGAGTTTGAGACCAGCCTGGCCAACATAGTGAAACCCTGTCTCTATTAAAAATACACAGATTAGCTGGGTACAGTGGTGCGCACCTGTAATCCCAGCTACTCGGGAGGCTAAGGCAGGAGAACTGTTTGAACCCAGGAGGCAGAGGTTGCAGTGAGTCAAGATTGGTGCACTCAGCCTGGGCAACAGAGCAAGACTCTGTTTCAAAAAAAAAAAAGAGGCCACAGAGAGAAGAAGTCTGTAGTTGAGGGGTGAGGTCTGAAAAACCTTCTAGAAGGATGAAAGGACGGAGCTGAGAATTGCAAGGGGCTTTCTAGGCAGAGGAGCATGGCCAGAGCCTGTGAGGAGGCCTCCTGGGCACGTGTGCGAGCCAAGGTACTGAGTGGCAAGAGCTGGACCAGGTGCAGAGCCTGGGAGTTGCTCACTGGGCTGAAGTGCAGAGAACCCTGAACGTGGGGGAGAGTGCTAACGAGGTCAGCGGGGTCAGGCAGCAGGGGGTCTTGTATGCGAGGGGGAGACAGAATATGAATGATATTTTAGAAAGCTTTTCCAAAGGTGCCTAGAGGGGGCCAGATGTGAGGCAAGGACTCACGAGGAGGCCATGGAAAAGCAGCAGAGGGTGCTGGTGAGCCGACAGCAGTGAGAGATGGAGGAGAGGAGGAGCCAGAGGACCTGGCTACCCACTGGTTGAGATGTGGGCTTCGGTGGGGCCAGGTGGACCCTGAGATCATTCCTTAGATGGGGAAGAGACGGGGAGAAGGAGGAGGAGAAGGAAGAGGAGTTTGTTTTCCTCTCCTCCATTTTCTACTCCTTTCTGTCCCTCAGTTTCTACTCCAATTGATGACAAGTCTTGAGCATTCCACCTGCAACACTTTTCTTTAATCTTTCTCCTTCTCTCCGCCCTCTTGCCCTTGGCCGAATCCAGACCCTTAGCATGATGTTTTCTGGGACACTATAGTAGTCTCGCCACTCTCCTCCCTGCTTCCTCCATTTCTCGGTCCAATAGCTACATGCGCTCAACGTCATTCTCCCAGATTACAACTTGAGCTCCATTTTTATGCCTTAACACCTTCTGGGGCTCCACATAATCCTCCTCTACAGAAAAGAGTTTGAAACCCTAGTGACTAACACCCAGTTTCCTTCGTCATCAGCCCCCAGCCTCAGTCGTCAGTTACAGCTTCTGTTTGCCATCAGGTACTCAGTGGCCAATCTCATCTCACTGCAAGCTCCGCCTCCCGGGTTCACGCCATTCTCCTGCCTCAGCCTCCCGAGTAGCTGGGACTACAGGCCAGGCGCTCCCTCTTCTGATATGACCATGCTCATTTCTCTCTCCCATCTCACAAGGACTCTCTCCTCCACTCTGTGCATTTGCACAAGTGCTTCTCTGCACCCTTCCATGGTCTCCACATTCTCTTTTCGCTGCAGGGATCCATTTGGATTCTAAAGATTTCGTGCACAGAATGGCAGGTGGAAGAGTAACTTCCTACCTTTTGCAAATCACACTGCCTTCACATTCCAGAAGCCCACAACCTATTTTTTTTAAAAGAGCCTTTAATTTAACTTCTTTGTAAATGTGGCTTTTTGAACACTTGATTTTCTCTTACAGTGGAATGGATCTGTGTTTTTAGCTCTTGGAAAGGGACAGGTAGACAGTGAGCAGAGGGGGACAGGTAGACAGTGAGCAGAGAAGTGGGGATCGGCTCCACGTGCTACTGAAGAGTCTGGGTGTTTGGGGCCTCAAGACTTGAAGGAATCCAAGGGGCTCCTTCCTGGACTCAGCTTCAGCTCCCACGGACCGAGCGGCGGCTCTGCGACGCGCCCTGTGAGTGCCTTCTCGTTTACTCCTCAGAGTGACCTTCAGAATTAGCAAGTCTCCTTCCTTTCAGAGATGAGGAAGCGGAAGCTCAGAGGGCTGTGGGAATTTGCCCAAAGTCTCCAAAAGTGTAAAATAGAGGGACTGGGTCTGACCTCGGGGCTCCTGACTCCACACCCAGTGCTCTTTCCCCTCACTCAGCTGTTCCCAGGGGGACTGTGCCTGAGTCATTCAGAGCCCTCCGATCCAGCAAGTTATCTCTTCCAACCTCCCTAAAATCTCACATTCTCATGCTTCTTGGGCTGATCGCAACTGGATTTCATCAGAGAACACTTCTATAAAATAGGTCAGTAACTCTCCCACCCAGAAATGGATCTTCCTTCTAAACAATCTCTCTCTCTGCTCCAGAGGCTCAAAACATTGAAACCAAAGTTGCACGATGGGATGATTAATGGGGCTGAAATTAAATACGAAAATACATCTCACCCTCTCAGAAGCTGGTTCTCACCTCGTTTTGCCTGGAGCTTTGTAACCACTTACGTTTCCTGAGAACACTTTTAGTTGTCCTTATATTTGCCGGTGGTCTGTGGTCAAAGGCAACAGGAATCTAACCAGTAATCACCTCCCTCCTCTTCCGGAATAAAATAACGAAGAGGTCGGGCTTCTGGGGCTGGTAGGGATGGGATGTTATCTGGGGTATCTAAGTCATGTTTATTTCCTTGAAACAGGATCAGAGCAAGCTAAGTGGTGAAATTCTCCATCCAAGTCCCATGGGAGTTAAAAGCACTAACCCATTGGCACTTCCTTTCGAAGTGAATGCAGAGGGTACTTTGAAAATCCTTCCTCCCCATCGAACAAGTCAAAAATTGTGTGGAGGTTAGCATCCCAATCTTTCTCCCTCACCTGTTTCTCCTCTCCATGACAGTGGCCATTCTTACCCCAACAGAAGCCAAATTTAGTGACTGTTGGATCTGTACTCTAGAAGCTTTGAAGTAGGAGAGCTACTTATTTGTAAGATCTAAAAATCAAAACAATTGAACTCATGGACATAGAGAGTAGAAGGATGGTTGCCAGAGGTTGGGAAGGGTAGTGGGTGGCTGGGAGGGATAAGGGGTACAAAAAATAGAAAGAATGAATAAGACCTACTATTTGATAGCACAACTGGTTACGATCATCAACAGTAACTTCATTGGCCAGGCACGGTGCTCATGCCTGTAATCCCAGCAATTTGGGAGGCCGAGGCAGGCGGATCACCTGAGGTCAGGAGATTGAGACCAGCCTGGCTAACACGGTGAAATCCCGTCTCTACGAAAAATACAAAAAAATTAGCTGAGTGCAGGCGCCTGTAGTCCCAGCTACTCGGGAGGGTGAGGCAGGAGAATGGCTTGAATTTGGGAGGCAAAGGTTGCAATGAGCTGAGATTGTGCCACTTCACTCCAGCCTGGGCAACACAGCGAGACTCAATCTCAAAAAAAATATATGTAATAATAATAATAACTTAATCGTACATTTTTAAATAACTTAAGGAGTGTAATTGGATTGTTTGTAACTGAAAAGATAAATGCTTGAGGAGATGGATACCCCATTCTCCATGCCTATTCACATTGCATGCCTGTAACAAAACATCTCATGTACCCCACAAATATATACACCTACTATGTAACCACAAAAATAAATATATACATACATACATACATACGTAAAAATAAATGGAACATCCAGAATAGAAGAATTACAGAAGAGGAGAAGGAAGATGTATTCCTGAGAGCTTAGACAGGGACTGTTTGTGGGGAAAGAGGATTTGAGAAAAGCACTTGGTTGGGGAAAATTGATAAAAACAAGACTTATTACCTTCACTCCACCAAGGTAAGTATGAAGGGCAGGGTACAGAGACATTTCCAGGAGAAGAATGAGGCCAACATACGTACTGATCGAACGTCCCATTACAAAATACGCCTATAGAGAGAAGAAGGGTCTGATGAACATCGGTGTTTCAGCACAGGGATGCCACTGATGGAGGCAGAGGCACCATGGGAGCCCACCTTCCTGGCACTGGAAGCTGTTGTAACCTGTGCAGAAACCAGCATGGGTGGCCCACTCTCTAGATGAGTCAAGGATGGGGAATGATTTGGGGACCACAGGAATGCTGAATGCAGCCCCAAACAACGTGCATTTGTCTGCCCAACTTGACTTCTGGTCAATTACGTCAATGTACACATGATACCAATTTTACTTTATATGACATGAACTAAACTTTCACAGAAACTTGGGGACAGGAGGACACTTGGAGGCTCAGCCAGTCCCTTATGTTCCACAATCAGTTAAATAATCATCAAATCTTCACCAGTTAGATCCCAGGATACATTTACTCTGTGAATGTGCAAAAAGACCAGCAGAATGAGGGGATCTATAAACTCAAGGTCCTTGGTCACACAGATCCAATACAAGTACTGTATAGTCATCTCTCTCCATTTGAGCACTAATTCAATGATCATTATTAGATATTTGGACCATCTCAGGGGATGATTTACCCCTGGCGTTTGGCAACAGGAAGCAACAATCTTAAAACTCTGCATTATGGGCCTCCCGGAATCAAATGGAAGTATTTCAGACTAGGTCCCAAACTTCTAATATTGTAAGCTCCTGACGTCCCGGAAGCTGAGCACCATTCCCCACCATCTGCTCCCTATTAGGCTAAAATGGCCAGGTTTCCAGATCACGAAGTCAGGGGATCAAGACCATCCTGGCCAACATGGTGAAACCCCATCTCTACTAAAAATACAACAATTAGCCGGGCGTGGTGGCGTGTGCCTGTAATCCCAGCTACTCGGGAGGCTGAGGCAGGAGAATCGCTTGAACCCGGGAGTTGGAGGTTGCAGTGAGCTGAGATCACGCCACTGCACTCCAGCCTGGGCGACAGAGCAATACTCCGTCTCAAAAAAAAAACAGAAGGCCAGCTTCCTGGCATTGAAACCCAAGAAACACCATGGTGTTATGAGCTGGCTTGGGACACTGTATCGACCTGGCTGCCAGGTGTCAGCACCTGGTAAGGCAGTGCTCACCTGAGCTGTGCATGGCATGGCTCTGGATGAAGGCCTGCCTTACCTTGACCTCAGAAAGCAGCGTTCTCCAAAACGAGAGGTGGTTCCTGCAGCTGACCTCAAGGTTTGACTACAACCTGCCTGGACCCATGAGGTCTTCAGAGGGAGCTGACAAGGGCTTGAAGCCTGGGACTGCCTTTGGGTGAAGAAAGAAAGGGAGAGTTCAGTGTCCTGTCAATCTCAAGGCCTCTGAATTAAATGATCTGAAAGAAGCCAGAGCTGGGGATTGTCCTCAGTGGGCTCAGAGGCAATGGGCCAAGATACTTTCTTCTTTTTTTCCTTTGGAGATGGCATGGTGCACGTGGCTGCACCCAAACAGTCAGCCTGCAGACAACTATTACATATTTGCTAGAATGTTCTGAACTTAGTGTCGCCTTGGATAAGAGAAATGTTACTCTTCAGATTTAGTTAACACCCTGGGAGATGGGGCATCCCCCACCCCCATTCCTTTAACAGATTCCCAGACTAATATACGGCAGCTAATCATGTCATGTGATCAGGTGATGAGTATGCCATGGCAGATGGCTTTTATCAAAGATGGTCACATCCACATACATCTGGTTTCATATGTTTCCTTACAATGGGGCATGGGGTCTGTGTTTCTGCTCCTTTAGCCTGGGTAGAGCTTTGTAGCTGTCTGACCAGTTGAACATGGCCGAAGTGATCTTGTATGACTTTCAAGGCCAAGGCATGAAAGTCTTTGGTTAGGCAGGGCCTTAAGACCCCACCATCATGCTGTATGGAAGCCCTGGTCAAGTGAAGAGGCCATGGGAGTCTTCCAGCTAAACTCCAGACATTACAGAGCAGAAACAAGCCATCCCCAGTGTGCCCTGTCTAAATTCCTCACCCACAGAAACTATGAGAGGTAATAAATGACTGGTTCCTGTTTTGAACCACTAAGCTTTGGGACAATTTGTTACACAGCCACGGATAACTAATACACATGCTTACCAGAAGGTTCCTTGAGTAAGTCTCTCAGACATGCCTGTTTGTACTGAGCCCACTTCCGAGTCGTTTCCTCAAGGAGGGATCCTGTAACCTGAGCAAACAAAAACATGGTCACCCCCAGTGACCAAGTACAGATGTGGCCTTGCTGTCAACTTCACACTATGATTCTCCAACCTTCCCACTGAAGTGCTCACAATGGCCCACAGCAAAGAAACAGCCTTTCTTCGGCATCTTATGTTCTATCTTAAGAGTACATACAAATTTTACATTCACTCCATAATTTAATCATATTGACTTTAATACAAATGTGAAAAAAATTTCAAAACCTTTAAGTGAAGTTGACATTTCAAGAGTACACAATATTCTTATCCTAAACTTTTTCATCCTCCCACATGAATAGTTGCACGCTTCTGAGACTATGTAGATCCCAAAGAGAGACGCATCACACTAAGACGCAACAATGTGACAGAAGGGCCAGATAATTGCTGGAACCTGCAGCATCCAGGTGTCTGCAGGTGCAAAGTCAAAGGTTCTGAGTAGACAGATTCTCTGCTCTGGAGGTGACCATGATTTTTTCTGCTCAGATTATAGGATCTTTTCTTTTCTTTTTCTTTTTTTTTAGACAGAGTCTCAATCTGTTACCAGGCTGGAGTGCAGTGGCGCGATCTTGACTCACTGCAACCTCTGCCCCCTGGGTTCAAGCGGTTCTCCTGCCTCAGCCTCCCCAAGTAGTTGGGACTACAGGTGCACACCACCATGCTCAGCTAATTTTTTTCATATTTTTAGTAGAGATGGGGTTTCGCCATGTTGGCCAGGATGAGCTCGATCTCCTGACCTCGTGATCTGCCCGCCTAACTCCCAAAGTGCTGGGATTACAGGCACGAGCAACCGCACCTGGCCCGTATCTATTCTTGAGAAGTCAATTTGGAAGTGGGTTCAGTACAAAGAGAAGTGTCTGAGACACTTAAGCTACTGAGGACTTGGGATTTTTTCCTTTCTGACATTAACTATTTCATGCCATTGAATCTTGGAAATACAGCACGTTTTGGGCTTTCCAGATGACTGGGCTGTGTCACAGCTTCTACTTGTGTACCTGGACCACTTCTTTTTATTTCACTTTTATTTATTTACTTTTTTGAGACAGGGTCTCCTCACTCTGTTGCCCAGGCTGGAGTGTGGTAGGACAATCTCGGCTCACTGCAACCCCTGCCTCCCAGGCTCAAGTGATCCTTGCATCTCAGCATCCTGAGTAGCTGGGACTACAGGCACACGCCACCATGCTTGGCTAATTTTTGTTGTTGTTATTGTTGTTGTTTAGATGGAGTCTCCCTCTGTCGCCCAGGCTGGAGTGCAGTGGCGTGATCTCGGCTCACTGCCACCTCCGCCTCCTGGGTTCAAGGGATTCTCCTGCCTCACCTCCTGAGTGGGTGAAATACAGGCATGCACCACCACACTCGGCTAATTTTTGTATTTTTAGTAGAGACACGGTTTCACCATGTTGGTCAGGCTGGTCTCGAACTCCTGACCTTGTGATCTGCCCTCCTCAGCCTCCCAAAGTGCTGGGATTACAGGCGTGAGCCACCGCGCCCGGCCCTAATTTTTGTATTTTTTGTAGAGATAGGATTTCGCTGGTCTCAAATTCCTGGGCTCAAATGATCCTCCTGCCTTGGCCTCTCAAAGGCCACCATGCCTGGCCTTCGTTTGATTTTAAAAAGGACTTTCTCTTCTGTTGTTCATCAGGCACCTATTGTGCGCCAGGCCTTGTGTTAAGGAGGAATTAGGATACAGAGATGAGGGAGACAGAGCCCCTGCCCTAAAAAGGACTTAGAATCTGCTCCAGAGATGAAAGCTATATAACTGGCTGGCATGCAAGGCCAAGGGCATTCTGGTCTGTCGTCCTTGGCTTCCCTACGAGCTTCTGCCCTGTGTGGCTCAGTTCTCTCCATTACAAACCTGAAACTAGGAGTCGTCCACGGCAATTTCCTTTCCCTTGTCCAGGTTCCATCGACCCCACCTCCTTAACGTCTCTCCTGTCCAACCCTGTCTTTCCTTTCCTCCTCTGGCCTGGGGCCACCATCCACCCTCCACACTGCTCCACAGTGACAGGAGAACAGGACAGAGCTGAGTACAGGGCTCTCCTGCCTACGGTCTTTTACTTAAGGCCTGTGGCCTCAGGATTTAGCCTCTCAGCCATCCTTGTCCCAAGTCGTGCTCCTTCATGACCTCTCATCCTTGCACTTCCCACTGGCACTCGCTTCTGCCCTCATTTTCCCCTGGTGAACTCCTATTCATCCTTCAAAGCCCAACTCAAGCCCAGAGACCCTTGGCCATACTTAACCACCTGTCTCCCTGAGTCTTGAGCTTGTCACCCTTCCCCTGCATGACCGATCCCTATGGCCCATCACACCGCAGTGTCATTGGTGGGCCACTTATCCATCTTCCTCCCTACTGCATAAGCTCCTTGAAGACTGAGATGTGTCTTTCATCTCTGAATACAAGCCCCCAGAACAGGGCGGGAGTTAATGCTCTTGCTGTCCATTTTCAGAGGCTCAGTTGTGGGATGGAGGATGAGGAAGGGTTCAATAAATGATCTGGGCTAAGATCGCCCAGTTAATCAGTTGGCTTTAAGGTTTTCTCTCTTCTCACAAGGGGCAACAAACTCAAATGCTTTCTAGGGTCAGGTAGACTTAGGGTTATCCCAAAAGAATGAGGTAGGACTGGTATACCAGTAGGGAGTGCAGCAACAATCACACAGCCAACTTTTTGATGAAGAGCTAGTGTGGTCATTAGACCAGCAGTTCCCAAACTTATTGACTCAGTAATTTTTCCACAGTACTTCCAGGCCAAAAGATATATCTAAAGCCCCACTCATTAAGTAAGTAAGTCCAAACAACTTAATAAATATTTATGCCTTAACAGCTTAGTGCCTGCTGTGCATTGCACAACTTCTCAAGCTTTAGGATCAGATCGGATGCCACCACCTTTATTTCCTGTTCCACACTGATTTTTGTGCACTACTTGGTTTTTAATCACAGGACCTGTGGAAAACCTAGCTTTGCAAAGAAACAATATCATCAAAAGGGAGGAGGTGAGATCTAATATTAACACCATGAATACCTTGAGCTAGTAGTTTGCACAGTGTCTGGAAAATGTTACATATCACTGTACTTCCCTTGAAAAATTAAAGTATCTCATAGCACCCCTGTGAGTTCACAGTGGTGCCCTCGGGTATACAAGCACACAGTTTGAGAACCATGCAATTATCCAATAAGTAATAATAATGATACAATAATTGGCATTTATCCCTTGATTTCAGTTTCCTATGAGTTTGGAATCTCTATTAATATATCTCTCTGAGTTATGGCCCAAGAGGAAGCATGTAAGTTATTAACATATTGTTTAAAGATGTAAACATCTTTAATGGCACCGTAACTGACTCTAAATCATTTTTACAAATTTAGCAGATGAGTTGCCAAACAAATAATTAGCCTCTAGAATCCTTCAGGTCATCAATGTAAGATCCACTGGGGGACACAGTACTATTTATGGCCCCAGGGACCTCCCCGGGACCTGATTAAGGAAGAGACAATAAAATCAGTCTCTGGTGTAACGTTCCCCTATCCTCCATTCTTTGCCATGGCCAATAGCCATAACCAAAAGCAGAAAAACAAACTAAAACTAAAAAGTACGGAATTTTGTCAGTCTAGGGGAGCTGGACAAACTCAGACTGTCTTCCCAGTCCTTGCCCTAAAGACATAAAAAACACAAGAGGTACATCTAAGTTCAATCACAGCCAGATTCCCAAAGTCATGAGGAAAGAAGATATACGGGTGATTTTTTTTTCCAACTGGAAAATTCCAGCTTGACCTTGATTTCTCTTCCCTTGCATAGGCAACCAGCATCAATAACGAACTTGGCCATAAGGGATTGAGGAAAAGGAAAGAGAAATCCTGTACTGACTCTCTTTAAATAAATCTGTTTTTCTTTGTTAGAGAAGGAATACACTTCACTGTAGATGAAATAGAAGTCACAGCTCTGCAAAAAGGGGAGAAGGTGGAATTATCATCTCATTACTCAGAAATTACCATCTACTTCCAGATTCTTCTTTCTGTACACATTCTTTCTTTTCTTTTGTATTGTAACTTCAAAGGGAATAATATTGTTTCAAAGCCTTTTATGTTTCATTAGAAGACCCATATCGTGAATATATTTCCGTTTCAAGAAATAAATGATAAATGAAGTAAAGCATCCTTTTAACAGCTGCATAATATTCTATGAAAAAAATGTGATATAATTTAGTTTTTAAATCCTCTAGCATTGAATGTCTATATTGTTTTCAGATGTTTACTGATATAAATGATGCTGTAATTAAAATCCTCCTAGTTGAACATTTGAGAGCACATCTTTATTTTCTTAGAAATTCTTTGAATTTGAATTTCTGGGTCACAGAATACACATCGTTTTAAAGGTTTTTGATTGTCAAACTGTCTACCCTCGCCAAAAAAAAAAAAATTAAAAATTTTAAATATGCACCATTTTACCCTCCTGCCATCCATGTATAAAAGGGCCACAATGTGCTTCTCAAAAATCCTTAGATAGTTTGTGTTTTTGATGCCAAAGCAACTGCTAAATAAATGAGTGTGGGAGAGGATGGCGTGGGGATAACACTACTTCCCTGCTTGAATTTAGAAACTAAACTATCCCTGAGAATTTCTCATTAAGTGAATTTTTTGAAGACTTCCTGCCAAAACACACACCACAGTCATTTATATTCCACGCAGGGAAAGAGGCTATGAGCAGAATTCATCATCAAAGTCTTCCCAAAGCCTTGTAATATAAACATCTAGAAAAGGAATACGGGGTTAAGATGGAGAACCAAGCGTAAGGCCATCAGAATTACAGACACACCCAGAAGACAGCCAGCCAGAAAGGCTCTGAAAACGCAGACTGGGTGGCAGAGAGTAGAAGCAGACGCTGCCAGCGGGCATGTTACTGATTATAAAAATACCAGAGTGAAAGGGCCAAGGTGTGGCTTTCTCAGCCTGGTAAGCCGGCCTGAGGCTCTGCAGATTCCGTTTTCTAACATAAATATTCATACATCAACAACTCCCAAGAATGCTACAGAAGAAAACATACAGGGCTTCAAACACCCCGGGTAGGCACAGTGCTTAGGAGCTACAGCATCGCAGGCAACCATTTAACTCCTCTGAAGCTTAGTTTGCCCATCTGTAAAAGGGGCTCAGTAATAACACGCGTCTCAGAGGCTTGTGTTGAGGATTAAGTAAGATGAGGTGTGAGGAAGCATGGTGCTGTCTCAGAGCTCGGCATGTGGTCGGCCATTGTTCACATTTGTGAACAAAACTACACGATAAGCTGGGTGCGCTCACTCAGTGTTGATATGAGATATCCAGAGAATGGAACCAAGGATGAAGGTTCTGAATCAAGTCTCCCACCAGTGGCCCCACCGCTAACAGACTGAAGTCCTGGGACCAGAGGCAGGCCAGGGCCACCTGCCTTAAGGATGTTCTGGTCACTAGGGGAGAGGCTGCCATGATGGCAAGAATTCCATGAAACCATTCATTGGGCTCACATTTACAATCCATGAGGGCTTGAAGGCAGCCTCTAGGGGATCCTGGATGTAGGAAATCTGGCAGGGGTTATCTGTGTCTGTAGCACTAGGCTTGCAGCAAAGAAAGCCTGAGGTGAACCCTCATGAGACCTGGTACCACAGCCTGCCCTACATGAGGGCTGGAGGGGTTTAGAATTCCAAGACCATGAACAGGGACTCACCCTGCCCATGGAACAAAGGAGGAAGACAGCCCTTCTTTTTTTTTTTAAAGACAGATCCTCACTCTACTGCCCTGGCTGGAGTGCAATGATGTGATCTCGGCTCACTGCAACCTCCACCTCCTGGTTCAAGCAATTCTCCTGCCTCAGCCTCCCGTGTAGCTGGCATGACAGACGCATACCACCACGCCCAGCTAATTTTTGCATTTTTTAGTAGAGATGGGGTTTCACCATGTTGGCCAGGCTGGACTTGAACTCCTGACCTTGTGATCTGCCTGCCTCAGCCTCCCAAAGTGCTGGAGTTACAGGCGTGAGCTACCGTGCCCAGCCTGAGCCATTCCTTAGGCTACTTTCTTTACTCAGACGAGTGGAACTGGGGTTCCTTCCCGTCATCCTTTTATACTGCCCATAGCCCGGTATCCAAATGGAAACTTGGAAAGAGGACGAAGGTCTAATCTTCTTGGATAGAATAAAGCAAGCTACCAGCATGCCCAACTATAGAGGATAGTTAAATACATTACAACAAACCCTTAAAACCCACGGATCTACATCTACTGACATGGAAGAATGTTGCTGAACTTCTCCGAGACTCAGTTTACTCATCTGTAAAAGGGGATTAACAAGAGAACCTCCGACTACAGGGTTGCTGAGAACACAGAAGGAGATAATATGAGGAATGGAGGACACCTGGCACTCAACCCAGTGCAGAGCAAGTGCTCCATAATAATGTCAGTTGTGTTATTCGTGTATTTTGTTGTGAAGAAAGCAGATTACAAAATAATATCTACAGGATGTGCCTGTTTGTTTTTTTGGGAAAAAAAAAAGAAAAAACTGTATGCAGGCCTGGTATGGCAGCTTACGCCTGTAATCGCAGCACTTTGGGAGGCCAAGGCGGGTAGATCAATTGAGGTCAGGAGTTCGAGATCAGCCTGGCCAACCCCGTCTCTACTAAAATACAAAAATTAGCCAGGTGGTGATGGGTGACTGTAATCCCAGCTACTCAGGAGGCTGAGGCAGGAAAATCATTTGAACCTGGGAGGTGGGGGTTGCAGTCAGTCAAGATTGCACCACTGCACTCCAGCCTAGGCAACAGAGCGAGACCCCATCTCAAAAAACAAACAAACAAAAAACTGTACATAAACGATGGTAGAAAAATGTCTGGAAGTACAAGCCCCCAAATGTGAATGAGGGTGATCTCTAGCTGTTGGAAGTAGAGTGATTTGTAGTTTTCATTTCACTTCTTTGAATCATATTTTTAAAAAAACAATTAGCATTCTATATTTTTGTAATGGAAAGGAAAAAGGAAACGGAAGGGAAAGGAAAGAAAAGGAAAAGAAAGGAAAGGAAAGGAAAGGAAAAAGAAAAATGGATTTGCTCAACCTAAATACTCAAACCTGGGAGAATACTGAAGACAAACAGAAGGATATATGCGGCAATTGTAAATGCTATTTGCAGAATTCACATTGACGTGGGGAAATGCTTATAATATGATGCGGGGTGTGGGGGGGGACCAGGATACAATGTGTTTTATACTACCTAATACCAGCTGTTGTTAAAAAAAAAAAAAAGCATAGAGAAAATATTTGAGGACAATATGCCAAATATGAACAGTGATTTTGAATGCTAGGATTATGGTGGCTCATTATATTCTTAATACTGTTTTCTCTTTTCCAGATTGCTTACATGAGGCCTAAATTGCTTCTTTAAAAAAAAAAAAAAAAAATCAGGAAACACACACAACCGATAATAATAACAACAATAATAATGAACTGCTCTTACTTGCTTGATGGAAACCAGCAGGACCAGGGTGAGGAAGGGCCTCCCAGGGGCCCAGAGAGAGCACTTCCTGTGTAAGGAGAGAGGACTGGTCCCCCAGGGAGCAGGGATGCCCATGGGCAGCTCGGGGACGCCAGGCAGGAGTCCCGCGCTTCCTCTCCCAGGCCCTGCCCTGCTTGATCCCAGCTTCATCTTCCTCGTGCACCTTCACAAGTGAGGGCACATCTCTCTAGCAGTCCAAGATGCACCGCAGGCTGTCTCCTCTTGCATTCCTCCCGGTCCAGAGAGGAAATGTTTGCACAAATCCTCTCCACGCCGTGCCGAGAGCGTCTGAGGCGGTCGAGAGCAATCTACAAAGTCTTCAGAGTTCCTCCTCAGTCCTGGCTCATCCCCCGCCCCTACCCCCCCAAAAGCAGGGAGATTTTTCCCAGACCTTCCCTAAGTCAGCTGTGCTTTCTGGGACTTCCTCGACAGGCCAAGGAGAAAGAACAAGGCGGTCAGCGGGCTCCATCCTGAAGGTTCTCCTCAATGCACAAGGCTGGGCTGAGACAGGCTGGGGTCCGAGCCGCAGAGGAATGGCTGGCAGAAGGCGATGGGCCTCGAGCCAGTTTAGAGGCAGGTGTCTTTCTGAGGCGGGGTATTTCTTTCTAGAGCATTAAGCTTGTCCAGGCTGGGCTGAGACTAACCACAAAGGCAGAATCTCCTTGGGTCCTGTTTATGCAGAGACTGCAGGAGAGATGGTTGCTCAGCTCAGGAGAGTACAGCTCCCAACCCAGGCCATGAAGCAAAAACCCAATCAGCGGCTTACGTTATGCCTACACAATAGCAAAACGTGTTGAAAAGTCCAACATTCACTCGTCTTAAATGCCTACTTGTTCTAAGCACACGTGGCTCAGCCCACCTGACAACCCTTTTATGGAGTTGATGATAGATCGCTTACTAACCAGCACAGGTGTACGCTCTCCCCGCAACTCGCATTGGCAACACCTTTTAATCCACCATCTTATTTCACTCAGCCTCATAATAACCCCGTGAGGATACGATGAGCTCTTCATCTGACAGCTGAGAAACATTGAGGCTCAGAGAGGTTGGATGGCTTGCCCAAAGCCACACAGCAAGTAATAGGCAGGTCTTCTGACCAGAGGTGCCTGAGCAGAGCTACTTGGGAAGGTACCCTGTCCTGCCCCTGCCCTCTCCGGTGAGTTCTTAGCAGGCTCATCGCCGTGCCTCCAAAAGGCTCTGCTTGGAACTTCTTACCCCACCTCCCCCAGGCCAGCTCCCAGCGTTCCAAATTGGAGGCCCAGGTGGAAGGTATCTTGATTGGATGGAACAGTGAGTTAGCAAGAGGCAAGAAGAACGTGTTTTCACTTCGTTTTTGGTTTTGGTTTTGTTTTATTTTTTCCTTCCCTCTTCAAGTCAAACATAGGGACTCCTCCTGGGTAACTTTTCAACTGAATGAATTCTGAACAGTTGGGAAAAGCAGCCGTGCTTTTCTTAATAGAAATCCCTAGAAATCTTAAAAGCTCCATGTGGCAAGATTTTAGACCTTAACAATGAAATGCTCAACTAGAACAAAGGCCCTAGAAATGGACTCAGAGTGGTGTCACCTCTGGAATCGATGTGGTCATCTCTCCGGGACGGCAGAGAGACCCAGAGGGAGAAAGTACCGAAGGGATGGACTTTGGTTATTGAATGTGGCTGCAACTCTGTTCTGTGAGTGCTCATGAAAGATCATCTTCCAAGATGCATGCTGGAAGATGGTCTGTCTTGAAAGAAAATACCTGCTTTGCAAGAATATTCTGTCTCATCTCTTGCAACTTTTTCTCAAAAACATCCTTTATTTCTGAAAGGATGAAGGTTGGGGGCCACACGTGACTTCCCCACCCATTGGGCGGGTGCCCTCTAGCGATGAAACGTGGTAAGGTCTCTTCCCTCGAGACTGGGGACCCCACCAGGCCAGTGAGAGAGCAGGACACAGGTGCTCAGACTTGGCCAGCGGCAAAGTATAGATGGAGTGAAATTAACTCAGTATCACTGTCTAGCCCAGGCACATAGATTCCAGATTCTGTCTGGGGGTATTCAGGAGGTGTCTAACACGTCATCAAGAGCCTGTGTGTTTTCAGGATGCTCTGCAGAATCTTCTCCTGCCCTCACTCCTTCATCAGTGTCCTCTGCCCAAGGAGCTCCCTAAAAATCTTCAGCGTCACTGCTCCTGCCAGTGCCCCCTTCAGTGAGGGCCTGAGAGATGGTGCCCAGGGTTCTGTCTTCTAGCATCTGAGGCCCCTGGCCTCAGAACTCTGCACCCAAGTGGGATGCATGCCGCCCTCCCCATTCTGCACAGCACCTGGGCCCTGAGGCAGCCTGCCTGTACCTCGCGTCGCCCAGGGTCCCTGGAACCAGCATCTGTTTTCTGTAGTCCTTCTCTACATAGAACTGAACAAGAAACAGGCCTGTGAAGTCCTCGGGATTCCCTGATTCCAGAATCCAACACTGAGGGCCCTGCTCCATGCAAAAGGCAAGGGTGAGGCTGTCTCACCAAGACAGCCACCCACACAGCCCCTGGTCTTCCATCAAAATCAGCACCCTCCACAACAGCCAAAAGGTGGAAGCAACGCAGGTGTCTGAATAGATGAAAAAAAGGTGATTCAATAAACACAGGGAATATTATTCTGCCTTGAAAAAGGAAGGACATTCTGACACATGCTACGACATGCATGAAGCTTGAGGACATGATGCCGAGTGAAGTAAGCAAGTCACAGAGGGATGGACACTGTATGATCCACTTACAGGAGGCACCTAGAGTAGTCAAATTAATAGAGACAGAGAGAAGAATGGTGGCTGCCAAGTCGGGGAGGAAGGGCAATGGGAGTTATGTGACGGGTACAGATGATGCAAGATGAAAAGAGTTCTGGAGGTGGATGGTGGTGATGGTTGCACAACACTGTGAGCGTAGTTAATGCCACTAAACTTTGCACTTAAAAATGGTTGAGACGCCGGCCTGACCAACATGGGGAAACCCCGTCTCTACTAAAAATACAAAAATTAGCCGGGCATGGTGGCACATGCCTGTAATCCCAGCTACTCAAGAGGGTGAGGCAGGAGAATCGCTTGAACTCCGGAGGCAGTTGCAGTGAGCCAAGATCACGCCACTGCACCCCAGCCTGGGCAACAGAGTGAGACTCCACATAAAAAAAAAAAAAAAAAAAGATTGAGATGGTCCAGTGCTGTTGGCTCATGCCTGTAATTCCAGCACTCTGGGGAGGCAGAGGCGAGGTGGGTTCACCCTAGGACAGGAGTTCGAGAACAGCGGCTGGCCAACGTGGGTGAAACCCTGTCTCTACTAAAAATACAAAAATTAGCCGGGCATTGGTGGTGGGCGCCTGTAATTCCAGCTACTTGGGAGGCTGAGGCAGGAGAATCATTTGAACTCAGGGAAGTGGAAGGTTGCAGTGAGGCAAGATCGTGCCACTGCACTCGCAGCCTGGGGCAACAGAATGAAACTCTGTCTCAAAAAGGAGAAAAAGAAGATGGCGTTTGAGATGGTTAATTTCATGTTATGTGTGTTTTACCACAATTAAAAACAATGCCCTCTGGCGGGGCGCGGTGGCTCATGCCTGTAATCCCAGCACTTCGGGAGGCCGAAACGGGTGGATCACGAGGTCAGGAGATCGAGACCATCCTGGGCAACATGGTGAAACCCCATCTGTACTAAAATACAAAAAAATTATCCCAGCATGGTGGCATGCACCTGTGGTCCCAGCTGCTTGGGAGGCTGAGGCAGGGGAATCGCTTGAACCCGGGAGGCAGAGGTTGAGGTGAGCCAAGATCATGCCACTGCACTCCAGCCTGGGCAACAAGAGCGAAACTCCGTCTCAAAAAATAAAATAAAGCAAACCGACAAAAAACAATGCCCTCCTGCACACCTACCTCCTGGGGAGAATGGCAGGGCCAGCACCCTTGACAGGAACGTGCCCCGGCTCTGTGCCTCTGGATGTGGTGTGGCAGCACATGCAACTCCCCAGGGGGACGTGAGAGGAGGCTGTGTGAGGATGCCAGATGGCAGAGCTCAGGGGCAGGTACTGCGACGAGGCGGGAGGAGAGGGCCTCACAGCTCATCCTGCCCCACACACCTCACTCAGCCATGGACAGGACCAGGCAGCAGCAGGCACTGCTCCTCCTCCCCATCTGCCTCGCCTTCGCCTTCTCCCTCACGGCCGTGGTCAGCAGCCACTGGTGTGAGGGGATCCGGCGGGTGGTGAAGCCGCTGTGCCAGGACCAGCCGGGAGGGCAGCACTGCATTCACTTCAAACCGGACAACAGCAGCAATGGCAGGATGGACAACGACAGCCAGGCTGTCCTGTACATTTGGGAGCTGGGCGATGACAAGTTCATTCAGCGTGGGTTCCATGTGGGGCTCTGGCAGTCCTGCGAGGAGAGCCTCAATGGTGAAGGTGAGCGAAGCCTGTAGATTCTGGGGGTGACAGGTGCGGGATGGGGCCGGGGCTCTGGAGTCAGGCTGTCTGGGTTTGAATCCTGCAGATTCTGGGGGTGACAGGTGTGGGATGGTGCAGGGGCTCTGAAGCCAGGCTGTCTGGGTTTAAATCCTGCATCTCCACTGACTGTCTAGGTATCCTTGAGTAAGTCCCTTCACCTCTCTGAGCCTCGGTTTTCTCATCTATAAAATGGGAATAATAGCAGTACTTACCTCCAAGAGTGATTGCAAAGATGAAATGACCAGATTCACATACGGTGCTTGCAATAGGGCCTGGCACATTCCAGGTGTTTATTAAAATTAGCTTTTCTCATTTGCTCTTGTCACCCAATCCCTGGTATTTAAAATTATTTGGGAATGAAAGGTGACCCTGACCCAACTCAAAGGTGCGTCCCTGTTATTTCTCCTGCACTTGGAATGATCTTGGAGTGAATCTTTAAAAAGAGAAGAGTGTTTTTACCTCTCTAAGAATTCAGGAGGGAGGAATTTGATTCTTCTATATTAGGCAGCCTGGCTGTAAACCCTTGCTCAGGGACAGAATACTCCCCCCTTTCTGCTTGGGAAGCAAAACCTCCAAGGCAGAAAAAGGAGGAATCCTCCTCCCATCCCCATTTCTCTCCTGACCTCAGCTTATTACAGTAAATTTCTCGTGCAGCTTTGTACTTTTCCTGGAGTTTCTAATTGCCTTTTCTTTTTCCACTCTCATAGCATTTGTTTTTTATTCCTGAGGCCTAAGTAAAAGGCAACAAGAATGAACCCCCTGAGGCCCAGCATGGTAGCTCATTCCTGTAATCCTAGCACTTTGGGAAGCTGAGACAGGAGAATTGCTTGAGACCAGGAGTTAGAGACCAGCCTGGCAACATAGGCAACACAGTGAGACTTCTCTTTACAAAAGCTTTGTTTAAAAAAAATTAGCTGGGCATGGTGGGACGTGCCTGTGGTCCCAGCTATTCTGGGAGAATCTCTTGAGCCTAGGAGGTTGAGGCTGCAGTGAGTCATGATCGCGTGACCGCACTCCAGCCTGAATGATAGAGTGAGACCCTGTCTCAAATTAAAAAAAAAAAAAAAAGGAACACTCTGAGATGCTGTATGTTCCTCCTCACCACCCTCTCTCCCAGTGGTGGCCACTGTGGGGCAGTCCCCAGCCTGACTGACCCTACCATGTATCCAGGTCAGTGCCTGTGTCTTGTGCTTTAACTGTGGTACAGACACT